CCCCCCCCCCCCCGCCCTGGGCGAGAGGGCGCCAGCCACCGGCACTGTCTGCCCCGGATGCGGGCCGATCGGGCGGGCGCCGGCCTCTTCCCGGACGCCGGGGACCCGAGCCCGGGCCGCATCCCCCCCCCCCGGCGATCGGGCAGATTGCATCTTCCATGCGGCCCCCCGCCCCTTGAGAGCCAGATCCCGCGACTTTCCTTGGGGGGGGGGGGGGGGGCCGATCATTCTCCACCGACCGTGACCCCGGCCCGGAACATGACACACGGGCGACCCGGCAGCCGCGTTTCCCTCTTCCAGCAGGACGAAGAAGGGCAACCCCTCCACCACTCTGGCGGCCGCTCACACGCCCCATTCCCCACCACTATCTCTCTGCCTCTGCCCTGCCCCCCCCCCCATCCCATAGCCGCCCTCTCTGATTGCCCTCCTCCTCCCCCTTTCTCCGCCTCCCCCCCCCCCTCCCCCTGCGCCCTGTCCCCGGCAAGCATGGCCGCCCTGCCTCCCCACGAGGAGCTGCCCGCCGGGCCTGGCAGCGAGGAACCCGGTGACCGCACCGTACTGGCTGTCCACCAACACCCCGAGCCCCCTGCCATGGGTCTCCCCGCCGTCGACTGGGACCTGATCCTGTGAGCCCCCCCCCCGCGCCCCTCGTTGTGCCTGCCCGCCCTTCCTGTCCTTTCCAGGCATGCCGGCTGCCCCCCCTTCCCGCCCCCCTCCCCCGCCCCCCTCCCCCGCCCCCTTCGCGCTGCCCAGCTGCGACCCGAGTACGCAGCATCTGGTCGAATTCCACCCCCCGAGCCGGTCGGTTGCCTGGCGCCAGGAGGGCCACTCGCCTCCGCCGGCCAGCGAGACTGCCGGGTCTCCGATGGCCGCCACCGGCAGCCCCGCGGTGGCCCTGCTGCCGGGCCCGACGAGCCCGCGCACCCCGGCCACCGGACCCTCGAACCCGGGCTCCGACTCCGAGGCCTTCTCCCTGGTTTCCGAAGCCCTCTCCTCGTGTGCCTCCTCCGCCGGCGAGGAGGACGACTCCGCGGAGGACCCCTTCTCGCCGGGCAGCGGCGTCGTCACCGACTGGGACTTGGACTTCGGCCTGGACTCGGGCCTGGACTCGGGGCTCAGCTCCGCGGCGCCCGGGTCGCCCATGGCCCTGGATGTGGCCGGCAGCCCGGGCCTCCCGACGGATCTGGCCCCCTGGCCCGCGCCGGTTCCTCTCCCCCGGCTGCCCCCGCTGGGGACCCTGTCGCCGCTGCTGACCCCGGTGTCCGTGTCGCCGGAGGGGTCCATCCCCCCGGCGGCCGTGCCCTATCTGTCGCGCTCCGCCTCGCGCCAGTCGCTGGTCCTGGGCATGGCCTCGGCGGTCGCGCCATTTGCCGGCGGCGGCGGCGGCGGCGGTGGCGGCGGCTCGACAGCCCCTGTGACCGCCTCGATGCCGCTTCTGGCCCCGCCGATCCCCGAGCGGGCGGTCCTCCTGCTTCCCGGCCCGGCCGGGGGGGATTTCCCGGCCTCGGGCTCCGACCTGGAGGGGGGGGTCCTCCGCGCGGGCCTGGTGCCCGGGCCGGCCCTGGCCACTCGTCTGCTGGCCGGGCCGGCCGTTTCGGCCGCCGACATGGCGCCCGCCATGTCGGCCCCCTGCCTCGACAGGCGCCTCATCCTGGCCACCACGCGCTACATGTCGCCGGATTACTTCAGCGCACTGGAAGACGCCCGGCAGATTGTGTACGTCCCCCGCCTCCCGGCCCTGCCCCTGCCGGTCAGCCTGCCACTCACACCCGCGCCCTCCCCATGGGGCCCCCTCCTCCCCCCCCCCCCCCCCCCCCCCCCCCCCCCCCCCCCCCCCCCCCCCCCGGGCCCCCCCCCCCCCCCCCCCCCCCCCGGTCGACAGGCAAATGCCGGCCGATCGTCGCCAGCTGGTTGTCCGGCCACGCAGTGGCTCGCTCAGTGGCAGCCCCGATGGCGGGGCGGTTTCCCGGCTCGGGCGCCGTGCATCCCTCCACGGGGTCCCGGACGCCGGGCCCGACCACCGGCCTCGTGCGGCCCTCCCCTCGCCGCCCCATCGGCTGATGCTGACCTCTTCGGCGGCCGGCCCGCTGGCGGCCACGGCCACCGGCACCCGGCGGCTGTTCATGCGTCTCGCCTCGCCCGAGGCCCCTGCCGATGTCCCCCCCGAGGCCATCCCCCCGCCGGTTCTCCTGCCCATGATCCCCGGGTACTATCGGCAGTTTTTCCGCGAGCACGGCCGCCTTGGCAGCGGGGCCACCGGGACCGTGCACCTGGTGGAGCATTGCCTGCATACGGCCCGCCTGGGGCTGTACGCTTGCAAGCAGGCCCCCTTCGGCTGGGGCACCGGGGCCGCCGAGCGGCTGCTGTCCGCGCGCCTTCGCGAAGTGCTGACCCTGGTGCACCTGGGCCGGCACCGCAATGTCGTGGAGTACAAGCATGCCTGGGTGGAGCCCTGGCATGGGGGTGCCCTGGCCACCGGCCGAAGCCCCGGCGGCCCCCCGGCGGCCACCGGCCAGGACCCCGGCGTGCCGACCCTCTTCATCCTGATGCAATATTGCGAGGCTGGCTCTCTGGAGGACCGGCTCCTGGAGCGTCGGCCGACCGTGGCCGATGCGGTCGAGGAGCGCCGGCGCCGGGCACGCGAGCGCCGCGCCTCCACCCCGGCCGCTGCCCCGGCCGCTGGCTCGTCGTCTGCGGGCGGGCCGGGCACCGCCTCCGCGGGCTCGGCCCCAGGCCCGGCCAGCGTGCCAGCCTGCCCCCCGACGACGGCCCGTCTCTCCGAGGCCGAGGCCGACTCGCTGGCCGACGCCCTGGATCGGGCTGTCCACGCGGCCCTCGGCCCGGGGATCCTGCCGGCGGATCGTCGAGTGCGCCTGCCGCGCGAGGCGTCCGTGTGGCATCTCCTGGGCGACATTGCCGCCGGCCTGGAGCACCTGCACTATAGCGGGGTCCTGCACTGCGATGTCAAGCCCAGCAATGTCCTCCTCACCGAGCGCGGGGGCGGGGTGTCGCAACTGCGCACGGCCCCGGCTCGCGGCGCATGCTCAGCCCCGGCCACCAGCGTCGCGACGCACCTGCAAATGACCCCGGCCGAGCGCGTGCGCCGACTCGGCGATCTGCGAGGGCTGTGCGTCAGACCTCCCGGTCTCCTCCCTTGCCGGGCTTCCCCCTTGTTCTCGAACTGACGCCCCTGCCCCTTCTGTCCTGCCTTTGCCATTTTCCAGGACGGCCCTCCTGTCGGATTTCGGCGAGGCGACTCCCCTGTCGGAGCTGCTCTCCCGGGCAGACCCCGGCCCACCGGCCGCCATGGTCTCCGGCGACTCGCCGGGCGCTTCTCCCACGCATTCCGTCCCGCTGGTCGGGACCCTGGACTACCTGGCCCCGGAATTGCTGGTCCGCGATGCCGACTCGACGGCCAGTGGGCCCGGTGGGTCTGGCCCGCAACATTCGCCAGCCACCGACGTCTGGTCGCTGGGCATGTTGCTCTTCTGGCTGCTCTTTGGCGGGCTCCCCTTCGATGGGAACCCGGCCCCGGGCAGCCCCCCGGCCCCGCGCGTGCTCGACCGGCTGTCCTTGCGCCTGGCCCTGGCCGGGCTGATGCGGGTCCTGGCCGAGGCCGACGATTTGGCACCCCTGCTCGGGGGCCGGGCCAGTGGCGGTGATGTCGCCAGCCTGGCGGCCAAGGCGGCCGCCGAGCCGGGCGCCCTGGATGCCCACTTTGGCCAGGGGGTTTTGGCCTTCGCCCAGTCGGAGCTGGCACACTCGCACGCCCTCCTGCGCCTTCCCTCGGCCGAGGGCATCCTCCGGGGCTTGGAAGCCGGTGCCTGTGCCGGGTGTGATGCTGCTCGTCGGGACCCGGCGCTCGATGCCCTGGATGCGGGGCTTCTTCTGGGCCGGGCCCGGCGCACGGGCCCGGCGGCCGGCAGCTCGGCCCCATGTCCCCCGGGGTGGTCCCCCTGCGGGGCCGGCCCGGCTGCGTGTCCGGTGGCCCTCTGGCGCCAGCGCGTGGCCGATGTCATCGCCCGGCTGGCTGGCGCCCGGCGTGCGTACTTCGCCGAGCTGGGCCGTTTCTCCGCCGAGCATGCGGCCCGTCTCGGTCCGGAGGGTGACACCGGCTCCGGGTACCTGCCCCTGGTTCCGACGGCGCCCGCCCACCCGGAGGCGTCCGCCAGCAGTGCGGCCGACAGCACCATCGCCCCGGGCGCTGCGGCCACGGGTGCTGCTGGCGCTGCCGCCGCCACGGCCGAAATGCCGGGCCTGGTCCTGTTGTCACTGTTGTTCTCGACCCTGCGCCTGCAGCCGGAAAAGCGTCCCTCCCTGGCCGAGGCTCGGCGCTTGTGGATTGAGCCGGCTCTGGCGGCCTGCCGGGACTTCGCTGCCGGCGGCGAGGCCGGCCGCCGGGCCGAGCTCCGCCCCCTCGCCAGGTCCCCGTCGGCCGAGGAGGCTGCCCGGGCCGAGGCAGCAGCCGTCGCCCGCGTGCGCGGATCCACCGACCTGTCGCAGGATGACTCGGCTGATCAACTCCCCGACTGGCATGGGGCTGATATCGACGAGGAGCCCGGGCCCGGGCCCGTCATCCATGACCATGGCCATCCACAGTCCGATGGCGCCGACGGTGTCCCTCGGCCGAAGCGCCACCTTCACAGTTGGCCGGCTCCCGCGCGTTCGGCCGAGGCCCACGCCTTGCCGACTGCCCAGGCGCTGGATCACCCGCGCATTCGCCGGGCTCGAGTCGTTTCGGTAGCCTCACTGGGCCATCCTGGCGGTCTGGCAGCGTACATGGGATTCCTTGGTCTCTTTTACCTGGTGCGTGACCCTCGTGTGTGTGTGTGTGTGTGATAGTGTGAAAGTGTGAAAGTGTGTGTGTGTGTCTGTGTGTCCGTGTGCGTTTGTATGTGTGCATATGTGTGCGTGTTTGGGTATATGCGTCCATATGCGTCCATATGCGTCCATATGCGTCCATATGCGTCCATATGCGTCCATATGCGTCCATATGCGTGTATGTGCGTGTGTGTGTGCGCGCGCGCGCGAGATCGACGACCCGCGGAGCACCACAAACAGGAGCCCCGCTCAAATGCGCAAGTCCCTCGGCAGCCTCTGCCTCCCAGCCACTGACCCCCATCTCCCCTTGCGCTCTGTGCGCCTCAGGTTGCTCCGCTGTTGGCGAGCTTGGCACGGCTGTTGGCCGTGCATCACCAGCTGGTGTCGGCCAACGTCGATCTTGAGCAGCGTGCCCGGGCCGTGGCCCAGCAGGCTGCCCATCTGAAGCGCCCGCTGGAGGCCCTGCTCCTCGGACGCCGGGACCTTCTCCAGCAGGCGGACCAGCTGGCCGCCGCGGTGGCGGAGCTGCTGATCGCGCGCCATGGGACAAAGGAGCGCCTTGCGCTGGTGCTTGACCGGCTGGAGGACCTTGCCCAGGCACTTCGCCATGACTTCAATGCCGACGCCTCGGGCGCGCCTCTCAAGTCGACGCCCCCTCGCGACTCGTCCCCCTTCATTCGACACACGCACTCCCTCCTGCAGCAGCTTCTCCGCCCGGTGGAGCCGCTGGTGGAGTCGGCCCTGGGGTTGAAGCTGGAAGCCCTGCAGGTGCTGATGCGCCAGCAGCACTTCCCGCCGTTGGCCTCCATCGCTCGGCGTCTCGTTCGCTTGATGGAAGCCCGTCCCCCTCCAGCCCTGGCCAGCCGGGCGTCCATCCACAGCTCGGCCTCGGCCCTGCACGTCATCGACCATATGCGTCGAGAATTGGCCGAGCTCTCCGGGCCCTCGGCCTCGGGGGAGGCCCTCCTTGCGCAGCTCCACTCGACTCCGCCAAGTCACTTGGCCCAGGAGGGCTGGCGCCCGGATTCCCTGCGGCGTGTGGTCAAAGCCCTGGATTGGGATGCCGTTCAGCAGGACCTTCGAGCTCTGGATGCCATGGTGACCCTCGGCCCGGGGGGGCATCCCGCCATGGTGTCGGGCCCGGACACAGCCCTCCCTGGTGTTCATGCTGCCGGGCTCCTGGCCGGGGCCATCCTGCTGCTGCTGCTTCTTGAGCTGCTCTGGCTGCGGACAGCACGGCGCCTGGTGTGCCGTGCTGTCCCGGCATGCGCCACCGATGCCTCCTCCAACCATGCAGGCAGCATGCCTGCTCCTTCGGACTCGGCCCACGGCTTTGCCGAGGCCCCTGGCCGGGACTCCGTGCCTGGCCCCAATCGCCCCCGTGACTCCAATTCGGCGGCTGCCCCGGGGGAGTCGCGTTCGACCGCCACCGGCAGCAGCACGGACACCGCTCCAAATGGCCAGACCATTGTCCAACGGCGACGCCCGATGGGGCTTCGCTGGTCTGGGCCGGCTCTCGAACCAGACCAGTCGCCCGGGCCGACCGTGTGCGCCGCCCTGACCGGCGTGCTTGTGGATGGGTTTCATCGCCGGATCGAGCCGGCCCTTCGGCGAGCCCGTGCGGCTGGTCATGAGCGACTCGCCGACCCGGGGTTCCTGGGCATCCTGGCCCTTGTGCTGGTTGCGGGCTATTGGATGTTCTGGCGGTCATTGGATCAGGCCCTGCGGTCGCTTGATGGCGGGGCCGGCAGCTCCGGCTTCGAAGCAACTGCAGCCGTGATGACCCTCGGCCTGTTGGCGATGCACATCGGGGCCCTGTTTTTATCCTCGCCCGCCTGAGTTGCGATCCTGCTCCGGGGGGCACTTGCTCTCGGGCACCGGATGTACGGACGCCCACTGCCGCGTCTCTTCGGTGACATCGTCCGCCCCCCTTTTCCATTCCCCCCTTGCCCCCAACATTTAAGTTCCCTCCTTGCTGCTGGATATTCCCCGCATGCCATCTATGAGTTTCGTATTGAATTGGGCAGGGTGAGGTGGGGAGAAAAACGTGTGGACAAAGGGGGAAACGAGCGGGGAGAATCCCCAGGGGGCGGGGGCGCTCCATCAGGGAGAGGAGGCAAAAGCAAGGACGAGGGGGGGGGGGGGGGGGGGGATGCCGATGACAGCGCAAGTCGCAGACGCCTACTGCTGGGAAGGCCCCGCGGCGGCCGCGCCAAAGACGGCCTCGGAGAAGCTGGCCACCAGATTCGGCAGATTCCGCCGAATGGGGCGCCGAGGACGGCGACGCGAAGCAACCATGGCCGCCGCAGCCATGGCCGCCGCATCGCCACTGGCGGCCCCTGCCGCCGCCGCCGCCGACCCCGCCGCCGCCGTCGCTGCCGTCAGTGGATCCGACGACGGGCCGGCCTCCAGGTCGATGGTGGCCGGCAGGTCATATGTCAGCCAGTCGGTCGGTGGCCGGCGCCGAGCGCGCAGGGCCCCGGCCAGGCCGTCGGCCTCGGCTGCCTCCACCAGATAATCCTCGGCCGCCAGAGCCAGCCAGTGGAGCACAGCCAGAAGCTGGCGGTTGACACGCCGGGAGCCGGCATTGCGCAGGTCCTCCTGGGCTCGCGCGCACGGCGGGACCAGCAGGCTACGCCGGGGGGGGCGCGATCGGGGGGCCTGCGACCGGCGCACCAGCGCCGCCACCGACATGGCCACCACACATTGATCCGGCGGGAGGACATCGGCCGCGCGCTGCAGACGCACTTGGCCCAGGCTGGCCGACGGGCTCCCGGGGCCCATGAGACCGGCGCCACGGCGCGAGGGGGTTGTCGGGCCGTCACCCGGCCCGGGGCCGCCGGTGCTCGACCCGATGCCCCCGGGCGAGAGTGACAGGATATCCACCACCGTGGCGGCCGGGCTGCCGGCGGCCGTCGGGCCGGTGGTGGACCCGGGCACCGGGGTGTCGGGTGCCGGGAAGTGGCCGCCGGCGCCGATCTCGGCTGCGAGATCCGGCGACCCAGGGTGCGATGCCACCCCCGAGGAGCCCGGCAATGAAGACCCGAGCGCCGGCGAGGTGGCTTCCGGTGACACCACCATATCGGCCAGCGCCCCGGCGCCATCGAGGGCGTCGGCCATTGCTGCGTCGGTCGAGGCGGCACCGGCGGATGTCGCGGCCGTTGCTGCCGCCGCCGCCGCCGCCGCCGCCGCCGCCGCCGCCGCCGCAGTCGTGGCTGCCGGAGTTGCTGCCGGCCCGAGCACCGGCGACGTGGTGTGGACAAAGCGCGCCAGGTCCCGGAGGCAGGCAATCAGCAGGCGGCAGATGGCCGCCCGGGTGGCGGCCAGGGGCGACCGCGGAGTCGGCGGCGGTGGCGAGAACAGCCACGCCAAGGGCAGAAGCCGCGGCGCATGGAGATCCCCGCCGCTCCCGCCCATGGTCCCGGGCCCGGGGCCGACGCCCGCATGGGACAGCAGCTCCTCGGCGCTGGGCGGCCCGGCGGACACCGGGCAGGGCCCGGGGCCCGGTGGACGCTGCTGCCCGGCGCCGGTCGCCGCCTGAGCCAGGCGCGCGAGCACCACCCGCAAGCCGGCAGGGTCTAGCATGGGCCCGGTGTCGGAGGGGGCCAATTCGAAGGCCAGCTTGCCCAGCAGGCGGAGGCGGCTGAGACGCGCGCGCAGCTGCTGGCCCAACACCCCGCGAGACTGGGCCCCGGCGCTGGCGGCAAACTCGTCACGCACGGCCGGCCGGCCATACAGCAGCACCATGACCGCCCGCAGGCCATCCCCAATGGCCAGGCTGCCGGAATCGGCCGTGTCCCAGGGGCCCCGGGCGAAGTCCCGCAGGGCACCAAGCGCCCGGCCCAATGCCCGCAGTCGACAATGCCCATCGCAGCTGGGGCTCAGCATGAGCGTCGGCTGGGTGGACTTCGAGGCGGGCCCCATGGCCGGGGCACCGGGCGTGGGGCCGACGGCGGATCGGAGCTGGTGGTGCTGGTACGCGGGCAGACTGCCATCCATCGGGTGAGCCGCCGGCTCGAGCCGCGACCGGCCCCGCTGGATGACATGCTCCTGCACCACGTACAGGGCCACATTGGGCCCGGGGATTTCCGGCAGCCCGGACAGCGGGCACACGCACGGAGCCAGCGCATCCAGGGCCAATGCTCGCGAGGCCATGCGCTCCGTCCGGGCGGAATACGCCCCGAAGGGCTCCCACGCACGGTCCCCATCGAAGGCGCGCAGGGTCCGGAGCAGGGGCCCGGCTTGATTGGCATCCTGCTGGCTGGCCGACGGGTTTGACGACTGGCCCGGGTCCTGGGACTGCTGCTCGTCCACCAGGCTGGACAGCACCCGGGAGAAGGCCCGATGCCGGCTGGACTTGGCCGTGAAAAGACCATCGGCCAGGGCCACCGCCAGGGCTCGGTCCCGGCGAGCCACGGCCGAGCTCCCGATGCCGGTGCCCTCGATGACCGCGGCCCGGACCAGCAATGTGCGCAACATCAATTGCGCGATGTCCGCCTGTAGCCGGACCACTTGGCCGAAGTTGGCCGTCCAGCAGCCGGGATCCTGGCTGGCGCTCGACTCGCCGGCCGTCGCCAGCAGGGTGATCCGCGCACCGGCGTCGGCCGGGCCCCCGGTCGAGGCGCCAGCATCGGTGCCCATGGCCGTGTCAGACTGGCCGCCATCGCCCGGCGCCGCTGGGAGCCGCGCCAGGCGGTCATGATGCGTCTTCAGGAGGGTGATCAGGAGATCACAGCAGTCGACCAGGCTCCCGGGAACCGGCAGGTCTTGGGTGGCCGGCGCCGAGCCACCCTCGACCCCAGGGTAGATGTCAATCCGGGTGACCACCTCGCGGATGATCTGTGGCCGGGCGGGCGAAGGGCCGAAAGGCAAGGCAACGGGTGTTCGGTAAGTAACCGGCAGCAGTGTCACGGCAAAGAGGGCCCCAGCAGCGGGACAACGCACGGCGAAGAGAGTGGCCAGGTCGAAATCGGTCGGCACCAGGAAGCGCGCACGGAAGAGCGCCGGATGGCACACATGCGGCGCCGCCTCGGCGGGCAGGAAAACGCCCTGCGCCTCCTCCAGGGTCGTGGGAATGACGGGGGCGGCGGACTGCTCGGCGGTGGGATCCCCCTCCTCCACGATGACCTGCATGGTGTTGACCATGGCAATTTGCGAGGCCCCCATGGAGTCCACCAGGCAAACGAGCATCTTCAACAGGCGATTGAGCAGTCCAAGGCGGTACATGCTGAGGCGGCTCCGGTCAAGGGCCGCCACGGGCGAAGTGCCGGGCTCACACTCGGGCTGGGGGTCGGAGGCTGGAGGCCCACTTGACGGGGCGGCTGTCGACGACGTCGAGTCCCATTCGGTGAGATACATGTTGCAGACGGCCTGGTGAAGGGGAGACACCCGTGAAAGAGCGGCCAAGGTGGCAAGCATGCGGCGTTAGATTCAGGCAGAAGGACCAGGCGCATGGTGTCGTGAAGGGGAAACGAAGGGAGGCAAAGGGCAAGGCAAAAGAGAGGCGGGGGGAGAGGGGGAGAGAGCGAAAGGAAGAGAGAGAGAGAGAGAGAAAGAGAAAGAGAAAGAGGGGGAGAAGAGGGAAAGAGACAACGGCACACACCAAAAGCTGGTTGCGGTTGGCCAGCTTGTCAGCCAATCGCAGGCGCAACGTGCGCACGGTGTAGTCCTCCGGGCGAACGGACACCCGGTCCAGCAGCCAAGACGCCAGGGCCAGGGTCTGGCGGCGCCAGTTTGGCTGGACACCGGGCCCCGGGTCCGGGCTGTCCATGATGGTCGGGGCATCCGGGCCGGCGGTCGGTGTGCTGGCCTGCCCGGGGCTCGGCGGCGGCAGGAGGGTCGTCAATTGCGGCACATGGCCGGAATTGATGGACCTGGCCATCGGCGACCGGGTGCACAGGGCCACCGCCTGCGCGGCGAACCGGATCAAATCCGCCCGCGAATGCACCACGCTGTCGGTGAAGGACGAATGGACCACAAGAGGCAGGGGGGGATGCCGCTTGGCGGGGGCCGCCGCTCCATCGGCGCTCGCCGGCGCGAGGCTCGCCAGGAACCCACGCGCCTCGCACCAAAAGTGCAATCCGGTGCGCACAACGACCGCCACCATGAGCCGGGTGCAGCCGGCCAGCGACAGGCGCATGATCGACCCCCGGTCCGCGTCATGCAGCCGGGTCCGTGCCACTTGCAGGGTCTCGCGCGAGATCCACGCCGCCAGCTCCAGCTTCAAGGCCTGAAGGCTGGCGTCAACCACGCCCGACAGGTGCACCGGCCGCACCGGCGCCATCAGCGCCAAGGCAATCAGGGACTGGAGGCAGGCGAG